AGTTAGCGGTTTTTTGTTAAAAACACATAACAAAGTAAGTACTGTTCTTTCATCACATTTCAAAAATACACAATAATGGTGAGCATTCATTTCACAGCCAGCCCAAGTGATACGATCCAGTGCCGGAAGTGAGTGCGCTTTTGAATTCTGTCCATTAGCCCTCGGACTGCTTGCTGGTCTCCCTCTTTCGCCTTCGAGAAGCAGCTCTTTTCCGAACGCTCATGAAATAGCGCATGACGAAGCTCCCAATTGTGTCCTGTCTGCCGTACTTAAAGCGCGGTACAACCCGACTGAGGCATTTTTTCATCTTAACCGTTAGCCGGCAATTGTTAGCTCTTAGTTTGTCGAGCACTTCGGATGGAGGTACACGCACAAAATTATCCTTAATTTGTAATGCTTCCATCATCACTTCGGCCTGAACAAACTGCTGCTGCTCCTGCTGCTGTTGCTGTTGCTCTTGCTGCTGCTGTTGCTGTTGCTGCTGTTGCGGTTGCTGCTGCTGTTGCTGTTGTGGCTGCTGCTGCTTCTTCTTCTTCTGCTGCTGCTTCTGCTTCAACCATGCATTATTGTTGGCTGCATAATAGAAGACGTACGCCGCTTCTACCATTATTTCGAATGGTCCGTTACGGTTAATTAATTGCGCATCGTACGAGCGTCTCTGGCCTAAAAAACAGCCGATGCAGTGGAGCCAAAAATAGAGACTTTTGTTCCGTGACACTGAATACGGTGAGCGAGGGACGATTTGCAGCTCCTTCAAATAGGGGAAATACGAATCTCGCTTATCGATCTCTTCCTTCTCCCAGTTTTCCTGCACCCATCCCATATCGTCCACGATTCTTTCGTCGAATGCATAGGTGATCAGTTCGCTGTGCTTCATTTTCATCGCCTTAGCTATCTTCTTGATTGATGGAATCGTCGCGCAACCTCTGTACATCGCGCTCTTTGTGCAAACACGAAGTTTCCCCAGCGGATGTTTCCGGAATTTGACGAGGAACATATCCACGCAGGCTGCCAGTGCGCGGAAAGTTGCGTTTTTAAACCAGTGCGCGACAAACAGGAGTCCTTGCGACAAACAGGAGTCCTCAAGCTCGAACGGTTGTTGCGAATACAGAACCGCT